AAAAGTAATCATAAAATTAGATTTTGTCGACTTATTTGTTATAACCGCGAAAACATATCAATGATTACATTGATTACAGTGAAGCCTAACATAAAACACCTGATAACTGTTCTCTATAATTATCAAAAAATACAATTTTATTACCTCCTGTATGCTTTTTCATATTTGAACGGCCGTTTCGAGCACTTTTCGCTGTAGGCGGATTGTCCGTTCGGGAATCGAATTTCACCCGAGATGACTGATAGCTAGACACTCAAACTCAGAATCCGAATTTCCGATTTCAACACACATACGAGAACCGGACACTCACGCCCGGTGCATGGTCTGCGATCCGACGTAGTCGGATTGCCTACCTGACTAGCTACTTGCATACGAGCGACTTACACCCCCACTGCATCTGACACTCGGGAATCGACTTTCACCCGAGATGACTGATAGCTAGATACTCAAACTCAGAATTCGAATTTCCGATTTCAACACACATACGAGAATCGGACATACACGCCCGGTGCATGGTCTGCGATCCGACGTAGTCGGATTGCCTACCTGACTAGCTACTTGCATACGAGCGACTTACACCCCCAGTGTCCCCCACTGCATCCAACACTCGGGAATCGACTTTTACCCGAGATGACTGATAGCTAGACACTCAAACCCAGAATCCGAATTTCCGATTTCAACACACACACACCAGAACCGGACATACCCGATCGGTACATGGTCTGCGATCCGACGTAGTCGGATTGCCTACCTTGCTGGCTGTGTCGTACGATCGACTTGAATCGCGTGACTTACGACTAGACACTCTTCCGAGTTCAAAAATTACCGCTTAACCAGTGCTGCCAACATGACAAAACACAATAACCGACGACCCCCCATTCTCGCCGCAGGCAGGATCAAAAAACCCAGCATCGCCGACAAAGATGCACCACCGCCCACACAGTCTTTCCGCCGTAGGCGGGATGACAAACACCGGAATCTAGTCCTAATATATAAAATGACAAGGAAATCAGCTGTCTACAAGCAACCCGTGGAACGGAAAACGCAGTTATAGTGAAACCGTGGAGTAAGAAATGAAGCACCGCTCCGTTTCCCCAGCCCGCCGGCCATGTCCCGTCGATTCCTTATAGCGCGACCAATCGCGTACCTTCGCAGCGGCGGCGGTCGGTTTTAAAAAGTTTTTCGTTATCACCTCTTTTCCTATAATTCGCCGATTTTTGAAATTTTCGGAAAATTAGCTGTTTTTACACGATTTTGACCCTTTTGGTCCTTTTTTATACTTAATTCGAAGCCGCCGGTGTGCGGTTTATATTCGTGCGCCGTCCGAAGCGGTCGCAATATTGATCGAAAAATACACTCCCGACCGTACTTTTTTGCCGATTTTTTCCTTTTCTCCCACCGTTTCGTCTATTCGCACGCCGTTTGTGCCCGAATCGTGTAGTCGACGTCTTTTTAAAGCCGTTTATATGGGCTTTTCCCCCGAAATCAGTTCGTTCGCCTCGCAATCGCGTTTATAAATTACGCCGTCGACGGACCGACCGTACGCGTATACATGTTTATACGGGTATAATTCAATTTTTCCCTATGATTTAATAATTATTAACGGAGAACGCTTTTCACACGCCCCGTTAAATATATATATGGGAGATGCGAGTATTACAAGCAAATTATATGCGATTACATCGATGATCATCGAATATATCGGTTTACGTCGCACCGTAGACGCACGGCTTAACAGTTGATGTTTTGCCTATATTTCATATCTCAAACTGTGTCCGAGTAGGTTAGGCGTTGGGTAGGAAACACTAGGTCCCGGGTTCGAATCCGTGGTACGCTCTCCGGGCGTCGAAAATGAAATTCCCATATGGTTTACACGGCCGCCCGAATCCCGATTTTTTTTGCATTTTTTTTTCACTATATTTTTCGTATAAATTAAATAATAATATAATAATAATACAGGAACATTATTATTATTTAAAGTCATTGCCATATTATATCACACAATAAATAGGTACATATTATATTTGTTTTATTAGGAATTATTAAAATTGCATATTTTTTCAAAATGTCCATGATTGTTATACAAATATAGTTTGTATTTTATTTCGGATTGCCTACCTAGGTGGCTAATTTGAAAGTTAATCTTGATTTTGACTTGGCATAACTGACTTGCTAGACAATCCAACACGGTTTTCGACTTTACACTTTTTACATAAGAAAAGGCACCGGACATGCGAAGGCACATACCACTAGATGTGATATACCTACTATATATAGGTGATAGACGGATTGCTCATTTTAGTTTCGTCTTAAACGGTGATGATTGACTTGATAGACACTTTAACATGCAGGTTTTTGAATTTTTTTTTAAATTAATATATATACACTATAGTTACATGTTTATATGTACCTATTGTATTGGTTAATATAATAGCATGTATCTAACTATCCACCTTTATGTTAATTTTTTTTTAGGAATTATAATTGCACATTTCTTAAAATGTTCATTGTTATATTATATCACACAATAAAATATACATATCATATTTGTTTGTATGTATATTGTAAATAGTTTGAATTTTTCGTAAATTATTTCGTAAGTTGTGTGATAGGGTTTTTACTTATAGCCGCTTGATGTCGGGTCCGCAATCCACCGCAGGTGGATTGCCTACCTGATTTGCTGTAGCACATTGTCCGCGATCCGACGAAGTCGGGTTGCCTACCTAAGTGGCTAACTTGAAAGTTAATAGATTTTGACTTGAGATGACTGACTTGCTAGAAACCCCAACACGGTTTTCGACTTTACACTTTTTACATAAGATAAAGCACCGGTCATGCTACGGCACATACCACTATATGTGCATGTATCCAGCCTATCCATTTACAACGTTTGTGACGGATTGCTAGACGCTCAAACTCTTAACATTCCCGCCAAAACGTCTAGCCTTATCTCCAATCCATAACACTAATCCTTATCACAAATCCTAAACTTTTGTCTTACAACCTTTGCGACTTTTATAATTCATTGTCTCCAAAATCGGTACCTACTCCCAGCGAGTCCAACGGTCCCCGAGTTACACTTAGAGCTAGTGTACACATAAAATAATATAAAATCAACACTAATTTTCTATTAGTTGTTGAAAATGTATCAATAATTGTTCTTGTGTCAAGAATATTAGTTACGTCATATCTCTTTCGATATTCAATATTAATAAATTTGAAAATCGTTCTTGTGTCATTGTTGGTCTCTAGCTGACAAACTTTTAACCGCCGCTTTGAAGATAATGAACGTTTCCAGGTTATGCAAGTAACAACTAACAGGTCTAGTGAAAGCTACTTATAGCAATTTATATAAATTTGGGTAGGTACACATCTTTAGTACCTAACTATACTTGTTCAAAATATCATCAATATGACAATATGACAATACCTATGAACATTTTCTTTAATTTATGGCAGGCACTTTTTTTTCTTATCACCAAAAGGTATAATTTATAAGGATTTGATCATGGCTAAATATATTATATATATATTTAGCCATGGATTTGATGAACTAATTTTTTTTTAAATTTAAACGAATTTGAGGTTTTTGTTAATTTAAAAAAAATTTCCTAATTATAGGAATTCAAATTTAAAAAAACCTCAAATTCGTCTACAATACACTTATACACAAAAGCAAATTGATCCAGCTTTGACACATCAGTTGTTGAATTCAGTATAGGAAAGTGACTACATTTCAGTCAATTTCACATTAGAGAATACTGAGAATAGTTCAGTAATAATAATAATAATACAATAGTCAATAAATACTAGTATACAATTGATTGCGATTTTCGAATAACAAAATAATGTCACATTGTCTCATACTTTATGCGACTATATTTTCGTCATAAAGCGGTTTATAACTTCATAAGTTGATTGTTAATGTATGCGACTGTCTCTATTTGTTGCTAATAATGAATTGCCATAAAATTAACCATTTTTATATTACCTATACGGCTATACCGGACACTGATTATCTGGAAGACCAAGTGACAAGTACCTACCTATTAAAATAACACCCACCCCAAAAATGTTGGTGGTTCAGTGATAGGGTGCTGTTAGTTTTGGCATTAGAGTGAACTGACCTATTATAAAACTTTTAGGTAAGAACATTATCTGTGTTATCTCGATCGGTATTTTACGATATTTTATTTTTTAAATGAGTTATGAGTATGTAAAATATTAATATTTGATATTTGTCATTGTAATAATGTAATGGAATATGGTATATGAACGTGTTATACATAAATCATTGCATAGTGCATGCGAAAAATGATTTTGAGCGAAGACATTGTGCCATCCTATCATGCTTGTTGAATAATCAAATTAATTACTTGTATCTTTAATATTTTAGATTACTTCTTTTATAAACTTATAAGGAACCTTGCATTCAATTTTCAATCCTATTTACTAAGTGAAAAAGTTTTTATTGAGAACGATTTTATTTTATTTTTAAAATATATTAAAAACGTCATCATACATGGAAAATTAATAAGTACCTATTATACTACGATGCTTTGTTATTTTAACAAACAGCACAAATGTGAATTAAAATGAATTAAAAAATTACATGACAAATGTTATTTCAAGGGTTTTATTTTTACAAAATAAAAGTATGTTAATTATAGTACTATAATATTATCGATATAATCAAAATTTAACACAACTTCTACAGTCAATTTTGTGTTTTAGTGTTATTGTTAAAATCAAATCAACCACAATAAATTATATTTAAATATAAATTAGCATTACCTATAATGTATTTCATACAAATTAAACTTAATAAAATAATTATTACATTACAATTTACAATTAAGTTTTGGATTTATCACATTAGCAATGTAATCCACAGCCTGATTTGAAGAAAAATTTGAAAAACCAAATGTTAAATAAAAACAGAAATAACAAAAAGAAAACTCAAGCATTACATTTTATTAAAATCATCAGTAGAAATATAATTAATAAATTGCATCATTATCGTCCAGACCATCATCATCATCATCATACCCTTCGCCATTATCAAAATAATTTTTATTGTAATCTGTACCATCATCTAATTCATCATCCACATCACTTTCAAATTCTTCCTCAATGTCTTTGGGTGGCTCATCTTTTTCCTCATCTTCTTTTTTTTTTGGTTCTTCGGTGTCTTCAACATCAATGTCTTCTTCTTCATCAAGTTCTTTGGCAATACTTTCATTAATCAACAACGATGTAGTGGGATTATCAGTTTTTGCTTTCTTTTTGTTGGCAGGGCAAAGGAAATCGTCAATTTTATTTTTTTTAGCAGAAACAATTTCCTGCAATGACAAATAGTCATGATTAGTTATCTCAGATTTTAACTTTTCCATCCATTGTTTATCAGTTAATAATTTTTCATCCAGTGTACTTTTTTTTTTTTTTGGTAACAAAGATGGTGGAAAGTAGTTATGGTTATCAATAGATTTAAGGTATGACCAAGGGCTTGTAAACTCCTCTTTTGAAATAAATGATGCAGCATTATGAAAATGCTTGGCTAACTTCTTTTCAAAAGATATCAAATCATCGTCTTCACTATCTTCTTCAATCTCAGTAACTGTGGCTCGCAAAGGTGGAAAGAGTTCTGGGGCTTTAAAATCAAGTGGATCGTCTGCTTCTATTTTGTCAGGACCAATGGATATATGTGGACGACCTACATTATTACCACCTCCACGTCCTCCTCCTCTCTTTCCTCTTGATGATCCAGCCATCAAACTAACACTTTTCTAAGCTTTTAGTTGTAGTTGATATAGTTTGTTTATGCGGCAAACTTTCCTAGAAGAAAAAAAAACAATAAATGTATGATTAAATGTAAAGTTATAAATAATATAAATAAGGTTGTAAAATTGAGTTGAACATTGAGTCCTATAGTTAAGTTATATTAATACTACTGACAAATTTATCATTTGCTCTGTGAAATAAAATTTATTTAAAAATTAATATCTATTATAATATATTGTATTAACCACAGTAATGAGTTAACCACAGCTGGTTCATGGAATTTTAATACCATAGAATATGTTTAAAAACAAATGCTTTTTTAAAAGCATTTAAAGTTCAAAATTTATAAAATGTTCAACTTTTATAGCTAAGGATTGAAAATTTAAAACAAGATTCCACGTAAATAGGTTATATATAAATTACTTTATACACCTTAATATCATCAAATATATTTTGTAATATCATAGGCTGACTTATTTTTCTTATGCAATAATATTATATCATTGAATTCAAATTTAACGCCATCCATTACAGTGACCCACTTGTAACCTACTATACAGCAGAGCAACTTTTTATTGTTAATGTAGTGTAATGAAACAAAATATTATATAGTTAATACAATGGCACATGCCATATTGAAATATAATATAACTGTATGTATTGATATTAATAAATAATAACAATGGAAAACACGTGTAAAGACACTAGTTTTATAAACCATACAATTTGTGGTTCATTAAAATCCATATTATAATATTATAAAAAAATAGTAATATAGGAATACAATATCTAAAAAAAGTAACTTTCACAAAACATAAACATATACTTACGGGGTCATAAATAACTTTAACAACTAGAGAACAACTTGGGCATGTAGCATCAGTTTCTCCAGATTCTAATTCTTCCTAAAAAAATTACAAGCTTAAGTTAATTAAAATATGCAAGATAATATTGGGTTATGTTTAAAATCTATTCTATAATATATTATGACAAATAAGATAAATGGAAATTATATAACTTCTTAAATGCATATATAATATTTTCAGTTTTTTGATTATACATCTTGAATAATTGAAGCACCTACCAAAAATGAGAATAAGAATTTTTATATAAAATTTATAACATTATCTTAATAGAACATAGGTAATGTGATTTAAAATTTATTTTTTACTGGATAAATGTTGTATCAAACTTGATACAACTATTATATTTAATAAAATGTATTGATTAAAACTTTTTTAATACATACTCTATTTAATATAAGAATTATACTCGGCAATAACTAGTTTATGTTGGGTGACAGTCAGGCAACATCCATAGTTTGTTGCCCCAACCAAGTTAACTACGTGTACGGCGTTCACCTATCTTATAGTTGCCATGCCCCTGTACATAAGTAGTCTACCAAGCACGGTTATTAACTTGAATATAGTATGGTTTATTTACAGATGGTGTAATTATATAAAACAATAATAATAGATATATTATAGTTCATTTAAAATAGGAAAAACAGTTTTATAAACCTTTATATAATAGGAATGTACATTTTTTTCTTTCATCATAGTATTACTATAAATTAACAAAAATCGGGGACATTAAAATTTTTTTGCAGTTAAGAATATTTATTTTATAAGGTAGTTTAATAAAAAGTTTAACATTGCACAATAATAATTTCAAATATTATGGCTATTTGTTGATGTTCTGAACAATTCATATTAGTATATGACTGTTTAGTAGTGTTTCTACTCTTCCGTAAATCATAGAAAAATAAATACCTACCTAATGTTACGTACTTACGTATTTAGTAATTAAGTAATAACAATGTACGACGTAGCGCAGGTTTCTAATAGTACTCGACGATATAATTAATAAGGCAATTAGTATATTATAACACGCTAGGGACACTGTAAAAGTATCTCTCTAGGAAAGTCAAACACTCATACGAAGGATACGAGTCGACCAGCATACCAAGTACGAGACCTAGACGCAGTCTCATGACCGAATTTGGCCATTGATACAACTACCCACTCCAAAGGACTCGATCATATAAATACCAGCCCGGGACAAGAGCTCGGCAGACGGTTAGGGATACTCAAGACATTTGGAGTCAGGTCATAACACCGCTAACATCTCCACCATAACTTATATACATTGTAATTTTGTACTTAAGTAAACATTCATCATAACCAAGTACATCAGTATTTCATTCCTGCGTTGATGTATATATCGACCTCAGTTGGGACGTAACACTAACTAAAAACCTAATTTTTCATTAAAAATATACATGACATGTACCAACAATATAGTATGGCTTAAATATATAATAATTAGGTTTATCTTAATTTTTTAAATACTTTTGTTATTTGAAAACGATCTCCACATGGACATGGATAGTAATACATTTCATCGTCTTCATCATATTCAAAATCTTCTATTTCTACTTCGTCGTGATAAATGGACATTTGAAGGGCTTATCTGAAAATAAGATTTTCAATTAATTTAATTATGTACATTTATCAGAGTAAATCTAAATAAGGTACTACCTATAACTATAGTTTACAATACTTATAGTTTCACTGTCAGTACAATACCACTATATAATCATAAAAAAATATAATAAATTTACTCACAGCTTACAGGTATTTATTGAATAATATTTAAGAATCTTGATATGTTAAGAAAATAATGGGTACATGTAATTACTTATTAAATAATAATTAGTAACATATTTTGACTTTCTCACCATAACGGCATAACGTCAAACTTGCAGTTAGTATTTAGTTCAGTGGTTTGTAGTTTTTGTACTATCAGCTTGAAGCTTCTTATTAATTTGCAAATAGACATTCAAGCACGTTTTTGATAGTTATATACAAAATAACCTAACATTTATCAAGACGCTATCATAGTGATATCACGTAATCAGATTATCAGAGTATGAGACCTGTGATATTATTATTTTCATAATATGAATTATAATTTAAAATTTGTTACCTTCCGGCTTCCAAATCTAATAGAATTTGGTGCTAATTTCTTATAGAAATTATTTTTGTTAATTATAATCATACGGACGGACCTAACTAAAAAATGTATGAACAGTAATCATGTTTAAGTTCCCCGCTCAATTGGTTTGAACTTTGAATTTATGATAATTAATAATCTGTAGGATTTATGAAAAATAAAAGTATAATATTTAAATTTTTCACTGAATAATAGTTATTACTTATTAGGAATATCAATTGCACAAGTTATAATTTAGTTTTAATAGTTTTAGAATTATTAAGCAATAGTTTCAAGTACTTATTTTTGAAGTCTGAACCGTAAACCACTATCGGAATCCGTTCTGAACATTCCCGGTATTTTGTTATCATTATCACAATGAGCGCCAAACTCAATCTCTGCAGCTGGGCTTATGTAAAATTTGTGACAGATGTTTTGAACGTTTTGTAGTTCTGTCTCATTTCATTTGAATTTGAATTTATTCATCGTCCTATTCATTTTCCGTAAACTGTCTCTTTTCGGTTCTCGCTTATTTTGAAGTTGATAATTTAGTATTTACTGAATTTAAAACCTATTTACCCTTGGTGAGTGTTTTTTGTATACATTTATGTATAATATTTTCTTAACAAATGTAAATCATAAATACAGACAAATAATGTCTGTAATTTAAATTTGTAACTATTTCAAAGCTTACATAAACCTAATTATTTTATTTTTCTATTTTTATTTAGAAGTTATAGTTTACTGTACCTTCAATCAGTTTATTGTTGTTACATAATTGTGAATTCAGTAGGTATTTGCCTAAAGTAATAACCATGAGTGCATTGATTAATCGTCGTAAGCGGATTCGAGTAAGATAACATTTTTGGTTTTATGCAGAGCATTATTAATTACCTCGAGCTTTGTTTATCAGTTGAATTCAGGTGCACCCAATGAAGATGATGCTTCTCCCAATGTAACGGATAGCGCTCCTGACAATAATGTATCCGAGGATAATGCAACACCAATGAAAGAGGAGATTGATTTTGAATTGGATTCTGAACAAGATGATCCCACGGGTAAAAAATTAGTTTTTCAATCATCAAACAAAGATATATTGTTAAATAATGATTTGTGGTAAATTTTAAGTATTTCAATTTTCAATACAAATTTTCCATCTCCAGGTAACATTTACTTACCACCTACATAACTTTAAAATGTTGTCCCAAACAATAACTGAGTTGATCCCAAGCTTTTTTAAGCTTTTAAGTTTAATTTATTTCTTTAGCATTTAGTTTTTTTTAATATAGTTTATCTTACCTAAAAATTCGTTAAATATTTTGGTTCCCTGACTATATTTTTTTAAAATTTATGTATTACCTAATTTTAAGACATTTGAATATAGGAAATTATTTATATTATAATATGTATAAAATCAATTTTTAATTTTATTAGGTTTGGAAGGAGCAGCATTTCATAGTCGTCTACCATTTGATAAAATGACTTCAAATGAAGCTTACTGTTTTTCGGACATAGCTCACGGACCAACACAAACTCAGAAAGTTTTTTTACACATTCGCAATCGATTGGTAACTAAATACCAATTATTGAATTATTTTTCAAATATTTCTATTAATTCTAGGAGAATTTTAATATTAAAATTACCTTTATTTTGTTTTATCATTAGTTACAACAATGGTTAGATAATCCAAAACAGCAATTACTTTTTGATTCTGCTCTGCCATTAATTGAACCACCGTTTAATACTGATAAAGTTCTTATTCAACGGATTTATGCATACTTGGAGCGTCATGGATTCATAAACTTTGGAGTATTTAAGAGATTAAAAGTAAGAATAGGATATTTAGTTATAATACTATTGCATATTATAAAAACAATTTATATTAAAAATAACTATTGATCTATTACTTATATTTATAGCCTCTGCCTGTAAAGAAAGTAGGAAAAGCTATTGTGATTGGAGCTGGTATTGCGGGACTAGCTGCTGCTCAACAAATGCAACAATTTGGCATGGAAGTTATTGTTTTAGAAGCAAGGGTACTATAATAACACCTACATTTAATTTTCATTATATACCTAAATGATTACTTAATTTAGGATCGAGTTGGTGGTCGTATAGCTACTTTTCGTAAGAATAGTTATGTTGCTGATTTGGGTGCAATGGTAGTTACTGGTTTAGGAGGTAATCCAGTGACAGTGCTATCTAAACAAATCAACATGGAACTTCATCGTATACGCCAAAAATGTCCACTATATGAACCTGGAAAATTAAATGCGTTGGTATCTACTGTAAGTAAAAACCTTATTCTATAAATTATTAAATACATAACATTTTAATGCAATATTTTTTATATTATAGCAAGTTCCTAAAGAGAAAGATGAAATGGTTGAGAGAGAATTTAATCGTCTTTTGGAAGCTACTAGTTACTTATCTCATCATTTGGATTTCAATTATTGCAATGGAAAACCTGTTTCACTAGGTCACGCACTGGAATGGGTTATAAAGTTTGTATTTTTTACTATATTACAAGTTTCTTTATTAATTTTATTAAGAGTAATGAACTATAATTGTATTTCCACTCTAGACAAATTATGTTTGTCTACAAATTTCTTATAGTTAGTAATATACAATTTTTAAAAATGTCTTTTGTTGGTAATTTGATCAATATTCATAGTCATTATTGCATTGAAACTTGAAAGTTTTAATTAAAATACACATTTAAAAAATCTGTTACTAAATCCAAACAGTTTTTCAAGTTTGTAATTTTATCTTTTAATTTTTTTTATAACTTTCATTGGAAAATCCTCCATAATTTAAATTTAAAATATTTATCGGAATATTATGGTTTATAATTAATTTGTTTACATTTTGTATATTATAGACTACAAGAGAAACATGTTAAAGAAAAATTGATTCAGTATATGAAGAATGTTGTAGCTTTACAAGAACAACTAAAAACCAATTATAAAAAGGTATATTCAATAATAACATTAACATAATTATTATGTTTGATGTAGTATTTATACATAGAAAATATTGTTTTTTATTATGTTCAATATCCTAAATTTGGACTATTTTGTTTAGTTACTCCAAGTGCAAGAAACTTTAAAAGATTTATCTACTCAGCAAAAAGAGAATGCTGAAGAAAAACATAATGATGCTAGTTCAAATTTTGCATACCTTTCTGCTACGAGAGAAATGGCTATTAATCTCAAAGTAAGTTAAAATAATTTTACAATCTTCATTGTTAAATAATTTTTTATGAAAATAATGGATATTATTGTGATTATATTTAATTTATGCATATATTTTTGTAGCAATGGGATGAACTAATAGAACAAAAGAATGAAATTGAAGAAAAACTAAAGGAAATGGAAGCATCTCCACCAAGGTATAATTAATAATTATATTACATTTTTATAGATGTTTATATTTGTTGTTAGTAGTTTATTTAGTATAATTATTTATTTTATTTACAATTAAAATTGTAAGTTACAACTAGTGCTCAATAAATTGCTTTATTGCCCAAAAAATTGATTAAGATTACTTGCAATATTTCCACAAGCAGAACTTAATAAACTAGTTTTTAGGCTTGAAGCCTTCTTGGTTATATTTTATCTGAAGAGGACGCTATACCCACATTTGTTGTCTCCGTCTTACAAATGTACAACATAGCAACAACTGTTTTGCAAGTTTCTCGGAAAGAACCGAGAAAGCTACAGTCATAACTAAGAAACGAGATTTTCACCATATAAAATATGTATATCACTTATACAAAAAAAAGTTTTCTAGTTAAAAACACAAACAATAAGAATTTTTTATATAAGTTAAAGTTATGTAAAAGAAAAGGTGGTCAAGTCAGTATTGCTCTACTATACAGTAGTTGTTGAGCAGGTCATTGTAATGGATGTGTTATATTTGAATTCAATGATAAATCATTGTATACGAAAACGATTCTAAGCGGAAACATTGTGTCATAATTGTATAAATATTCAAATTTAATAGTTAAAAATAAAATTATAAAAATCTAATAATAGATATCATGACAATAAATAGCGTGAGCTTCCAGTAAACTCCTTCTTTTTAATAGAGGTAGAAATACTTGTTGGGAACCTTCTATTAAAATATCTTATGTTAGCTATGTAAAGAAAAACTTTTATGAATTTCTTTTATAAAATTTACAAAAATCTAAAAAACTTCTGAAGGATATGACTAACTTAAAAAGAGTCAAAATATTTCAAAAATGTTACCGTTGATGTGAAACAACAAAATTAATGTTTGGTAAAATTTCAAGGTTCCAAGGTTATACATTTTTGAGTTATACCAAAAAAAGTATTTAGATTTTTCTCGGATTTTTTCAAAAATTGATTTTGCTTAAAAATTACCATTTTTATCACTTATTTTTTGTTGTTCTTGCCGCTATCTATAACTAGTTGAAAATTTCAATTTTGACCTCTTAAAAGTATCAACTATATTCACTTTTCTATCAGAAAAGATGCTGATCTCGAAAATTTGCTTATAGACAGAAAAAAACACACATCATTTTTCGCTCCTCTTAGAATCTAAAAATAAAAATGACATTGCACAGCCAATGTTCTCCTTTTTATGTGGTGAAAATCTCGTTTCTTAGTTATGACTTATGACTGTAGCCTTCTAGGTTTTTTACCGCTCAAAACAGTTTATTCGTAAGACGGATACAACAAATGCGGGTGTAGTGTCCTCTTAAGCTATATTATTTACATGAATAAAATATAACTTAAACTAAAACAAACCGTGGAAGTTTTTCTACTGTATAGAAAGATTTTGAGTGTAGCTCATAGAGTAGATCATTTATATAGTTATATACATGATCAATTTTAATTCTATGATAAATTATTGAATATACAAAAAATGATTTTGAGCGGGAACTGTGTTTCAGTTTATTTATATTATTTATAAGTAATATCTATTTCTATTTGTAGTATGGTATGTTGAACTTAATTTTGTTAAATACCACACATGAATTATTTAATATTATGTCATACATTATTATTAGTTAGGTCCAGATTTAAATGCTCTTAAATCAATTAAAAATTCTCTAATAATAATTTGAATTTCATAATTAACTTATTCATAGTTCATACTATAATATTATGATATACTGATATGCACTAAATAGTATATATTAATAATATTACTAAAAAAGTTCTCAAAATGGAAAAAATAACGAAAATATATAAAGATGTATCCAAAATACATAGGTAGGATTTTTTTTATAAACATTTGAAGTTCTAGTATTGACAACATTTATCAAATTGAAAATGTACAAATTATTTTGTAGTTTAAATTTATAAAATGTTAAATTTTTATATCTAAGGATTTAAAATAAGGTTCCAAGTAAGTAGTTCATTCTGTAACCAAAAAATCTAAAAATATATAAACACAGTTTTTTAATAGTTATCCTAAGTTAAAATTAGGACAAAATTGCAATTGCACCTAGAATAATGATTTTAGTTATTTTGTTGTAATTTAAAAATAGGTCTTATTAGTGGGTACTTGAAAATTTTGGAGTAGTTATTTTATTATATTTTATACACACAATAACATTTTCAAATGCAATTTTTTTGACCAAAATAAATTTAATTAACCTTCTGTAGTACTAATGCCTAATAGTAAAATAAATGACTTAAATCACATTAATTTCATAAAATATACCTACTTAGTAGTATACTAGAATTATAGGCTGATATACCATTTTGGTTCATAATTGTTTTTTCTTATGCAATGATTTTATATCATTGAATTCAAATTTAACACATTCATTACGGTTACAGTCTCTAGACACTTAATATACCTACAGCAGATGGTTACTGGTTTTTTTTTATTTGTTAACATTTTGCTATAAGAAAATATGTTTTATTTTTAGTGATGTATATCTATCAACTAAAGATCGTCAAATTCTGGACTGGCATTTTGCAAATTTGGAATTCGCCAACGCTACTCCACTGAATAATCTGTCATTAAAACATTGGGACCAAGACGACGACTTTGAATTTACTGGAAATCATCTAACAGGTCAGTAATATTTATTTTTATTTAAAATCATTGGAGTTAACATTTACATCATTTTGAAGTATGTAACTGTTCATTCTTTGGTACTCCTCTTAAATTAGTCATATTTGAGGTTTGAATGGTTTTGTTGAAATGTAGTCCATGAAATATAATAATCTGTGATTTGCAAGTTTATCTCAAATTATTACAACTTAAACGTTATAACTAGTATTAAAATAACTGTTCTTTGCTCTTTAAACTTTTTGTTCTACAGTGCGTAGTACAATATGTATCTGCCATACATGGCTACATCTAGTATAGAAAAAAAAGGCCAACTAAAATTAAAATTAACTATTGGATTTTATGTAAATCAAACATTATTATATTAGTTTATCATACATTTTTTGTTTTATTATAATATATTTATAGAATATGTAATTTAATTTATACTGTTTGCGAGACAAGAATTTACTTAAATAAAACAATTCAATAATAAGGTTAAATAATATCCAGAAGCTACAGCCGACCTAATTTGATGGTTGTTATTTCATCCACAGGCGTCAATATTTCTTACAATTTCAATTAAAATGAATTAACAAAATCTGTTGATTAAGTTTTTTATTGTTATGTGTAAGCTGTAAAGAAAGTATCTTAATTGATGATTAGAAGAGAAGTGACTTGTGGAGTAATCACAATATACCTGGAATTCCTCTTAAATATTTTTTTGTTCTATTCCCCTGAAAGTATTGTTATTATATTTTAATATCACATATTCACATGTGATCAGTTGATCAGTATAGTCAGTACATACTACAATACTACATAATTGTTATACACTATATTATAATTTTAACTTACAGTTGTTATGCTTTACCAAACTAAGTTCCTTAATTCTAATAGGTTTATGAAATGTTTCATTAACTTATACAATTTGTTGTTAATAATAGTTATTAAATAAGGTCTATAGTTGCAAACACAATAATATGGTTGCAAGTAAAATTACGACAATGAATGGTTAGATAGAAGATTTTCAAGAAGAAAAATAGTAATAAGCGGAAAAAAATTCACCCAGTACCAAAAGCCCGATTTTAATTTTGAAAACATATTAGAATTCTTTATTCTCTTTTCTAGGTTATGTACAAAATGGATTTTTCGATTTTTTTTTAGTAACTCTAAAATACAGGTGAATTAAAAAAAAGAAAAACGAAAATTAATTTGGTACTTTGCTAATTAAACAACCCAAAAAATCGATAATACATTTCCTACAAAACTTAGAAAATAGAATAAGGAATTAAAATATGTTTTCAAAATTAAAATTGAGCTTTTGGTACTTTGTGATTTTTTCTTCCGCTTTTTGGGACTTTCATGTCGAAACTTTTTTGATCGGAAAATTTAGTTTCGACGGCGTGATGTACGTTACTGATTTCCAATAATCTTAGCCGTAGTTTAAGTAAAGCGTTCGGAGAACTCACGCACACTGATGATCATCAGTCACTACAGTACACACTCGGTCACACATAACTCACGATATTGCATAAATCCGACCTCTTAAAAATGGTTTGCTTTCAACAGTCTTTTAAAATTCAACTAAGAATAAGAATAACATAATCAATACTAAATACAATTTATGACGTAATTTCATTCATTTTAGTATAGGTACTCATATTTTTATTAGGAATGTATTGAAGTAGTGTGGGGGAGATGGGTTTCTAGGGCGTAGACTCTATAAATTCAACTAAATGCTCGCTTATGAATATTTCTGTCTGGTGACATTGGATTTTCAGGAGAATAAAAGGAATACTGAAATAAACATTTTTTGACGATTTAAAATTGTATAGTCCTTTCATTGTGCGCATGAACATTACAACTTGCATTTTTTAAATGACAACATGTATCTTAAGCACCAGACTTGGATAGATCAAATTTTTTAAAGTCATTTTTTTCTACCAAGTATTCTGCCAGTCGGTTAAATATCAGACTAACTGCCGGTTAGCCTTAATGGTCATTGTAAAAACAGCCTTTAGTTAAATGTTTGGTTTTTAATTTAATTTTTAGGGTTCCGTACGGTAAAACGGGACCCTATTACTAAGGCTCCGCTGTCCATCCGTCCGTCCGTCTGTCTGTCACCAGGCTGTATATCATGAACCATGAAAGTTAGAAAGTTGAAATTTTCACAGATTATGTATTTTTGTTGCCACTATAACAAAAAATACTAAAAATCCTAGAATATATAATATAAACAGTGTTGCAAACATGTTTATAGCTGATGATGGTACTTAACCCTTCGTGCGCGAGTCCGACTCGTACGTTTTTTTTTCATGAGTTATGACTTATGAGATATGACTCATACGTATATCAATTGGCTATAGGTTAGGCCGGTTAGGTACTATATATTTATCATTTTTCTGAAAGGTTAGTAAGTATTAATCTTAAAGCTTAGTTAGTATTATTTAATTTAAAAACTATTAGGTTTTTTAAATTGCCCTTCAATTGTAGTTTAATTTTAAAGGGATCGGTTATAAAGAATATTGTATGACGTGCTGTTCTATTCCTTTTTAGATCTAAGCATTTACAAAGGGATTATGAAGTTTTTGCCTTGAGCAAAAAACTAAAAAAACTGGATATACCGCTTCCAGTGTTGACAAAGAGATAAAAGAAACCGCCCCTAGGCACTTAAAATTACATCTGTCCGCATTGAATAGCATTTTTTTAACTAGTTTGAACTGAATGAATAATAATTTCTTCTAATCATAAGTAAACCAATTCAAAATGTTTAAAATTGTTTTTATCTGATGTGGTATGCATTTCAAGGTATAAATAATAGATTATTATTAATAAATTAATAAACTAATGTATGATAATCAGCTATATTTAATTAACATTCTATAATAAAAACTTAAGAGGATGTCAGCGCACTATTTGTTTTCTCTCTCTGACCCACGCGCAACATAGACAAAACACATTTACGCAGAAACATTTTTTCTATATTTTTAAGTAATCTTAGAGTAAAATCACCCATTACAAAAAAGATAGAGAATAATATTTTTGAGGGAATGTCATATCGATTTGTCTAAATATTGTCTCAAAACAATTTAAACATCATTTTAATGTACAACTTTTTTTGTTTATTTTGAAAGTCGAATACAAAGTCAAATAACAATAAAATATAAAATCGATATGACATTCCCTCAAAAATATTATTCTCTATCTTTTTTGTAATAGGTAATTTTACTCTAAGATTACTTAAAACATAGAAAAAATGATTCTGCGCTCATACGTTTTGTCTATGCTGCGCGTGGGCCAGAGAGAGAAAACAAATAGTGCGCTGACATCCTCTTAATATTAATTTAAAATAAATTATGTTTATCGTGAAAATTATTAAATTACGCATAAATATCCTAAAATATATTTTCTATATACATAATGGTTCATATTATAAATATGATGTAATAAAAGTTTCACATATTATGTCACCCTTTAAATTTTATTTATGTTAAGTAAAACTGAGGTACATGATAAAACATGGTAAAATATTATGTATGTATAATATTGGTACGTGGACATTTCCCCCATACATATTTTTTAAAAATGTATTATTTATTATTTAATATGATTAAAATTATTAATATTAAATATTAAATAATCTAAAATTATTTTTTCTTGTCTAATGTCTAATTTTGTCTATATTATATTATATAATTATATATATATATATATATATATATATTTATATATATTATATTATTATATTATCTATATTATCAAATATTTCCTCCTTATTTATGGAATGTACATAATGCTACAAAGAAAAACTCGGGTAAAACAAATAATATAAGTGAAGGTTTCAAATGTTTCAATAATAAATTTAAAAGCAATACCTATAAGTTGAGTGGTAAAACTTGGTTTGAACATTACATATTATTTTAATAGCAATTTTAAATTCTGAGCGGAGATTCTATTTTTATTGTTTCATGTGGACAATGATCAAAAATATATCAATAAATAATATCGATAATTTTTTATATTTATGAAAATATTTGGAAATTTATTCTGTATTTAGACAAAATCATAAAATAGACAAAAAAAAATAATTTCATATTAATGTATATAATATTATTATGTATAATATGTACCTATAACGTACTATGTATAATCAATGGTACCACCTACTCTATAATTTGTTTATTATCGTTATTTGTTTTTTATTGAAATTTGCAATTATTAATTTGTTATATTTGATAATATATTATAAAGTAAAGAATTGTATGGATTTTTAGAGTTATGTTCATTTGGTATATTTCATCTTGTTAGGTGTTTTTCGTTTTGAATAACAAATACTGCATAATGTAAAAATATGCAGTAAATATACATATCAGCCTCAGCGGGGGTCTGCATAGAGAAAGTTTTTGTTTAATGAAACGTAATAAAGAGCTTAACATTGACTAATTGCTTAACGTTGTCTCAATAGACGTTATTTTAAAAACGGTATTTTATATTTTGTATCGTACACCTCATATAGGTGTTTTTATGACAAATGGTCTAGTTTATATTTTATAAATTATGTGTATAAGATTTACGACAACTTTTAGGCAATATAGGCCTATTATTTGAGAATTTTAATTTTAATTTTATTCAACTACAGTGGCGTATTTAGGATTATGCAGCCCTGGGTCTACATTTTTTTCATGCCCCCACCCCCTCTCTTCACACAGAAAATAATCAAAGCAAATTGTAGAATGTATTAATTTATTTTTCTCTATTGATAAAATATAGCAAACATTTTAAAAATTATTATTTCTTGAAAAAGACATCGATAAAAGACCCATTATGGTATACGGTCTTCTTGCAAAATCATGGTTAAAATCAATATAAATATTTATAGAAAACAGCTAAATCGACGATAACAATTTAAAAAATGTCATGTATCTAAGGTTATTTTTTTTAGTTTTACAAAACAATCAAAAAAAATGGATCTTCCCTAAAATTTCCGTTTTCCTCAATTATTTTATGTCTATTTTCTATTTTCTGTTTT